CCGTGTCCACCACCACCACCACCCGTACCACCACCACCACCACCACCCGTGTCCACCACCACCACCACCCGTCACCACCACCACACACCACCACCCGTCACCACCACCACCCCACCACCACCACCCCACCACCACCACACCACCACCACCCGTGTCCACCACCACCACCCGTGTCACCACCACCACCCGTCACCACCACCACCCGTGTCCACCACCACCACCCGTCACCACCACCACCACCACCACCCGTGTCCACCACCACCACCACCCGCACCACCACCACCACCACCACCCGTCACCACCACCACCACCACCACCACCCGTGTCCACCACCACCACCCGTCACACCACCACCACCACCACCCGTCACCACCACCACCACCACCACCCGTCACCACCACCACCACCCGTGCACCACCACCACCACCACCCGTCACCACCACCACCACCACCCGTCACACCACCACCACCACCACCACCCGTCACCACCACCACCCGTCACCACCACCACCCGTCACCACCACCACCACCACCCGTCACCACCACCACCACCACCACCACCCGTCACCACCACCACCACCACCACCCGTCACCACCACCACCACCACCACCACCCGTGACCACCACCACCACCACCCACCACCACCACCACCACCACCACCCGTGCACCACCACCACCACCCACCCGTCACCACCACCACCACCCGTCACCACCACCACCACCACCACCCCCGTCCACCACCACCACCACCCCGTCCACCACCCACCCGTCACACCACCACCACCACCACCCGTGTCCACCACCACCACCCGTCCCACCACCACCACCACCCGTCACCACCACCACCACCCGTACCACCACCCCACCACCACCACCCGTGTCCACCACCACCACCACCCGTCACCACCACCACCCCACCACACCGTGCACCACCACCACCACCACCCGTCACCACCACCACCCCACCACCACCACCCGTGTCCACCACCACCACCACCCGTGTCCACCACCACCACCCCACCACCACCACCCGTCACCACCACCACCACCACCACCACCCGTCCACCACCACCACCCCGTCCACCACCACCACCCGTCACCACCACCACCACCACCACCACCACCCCACCACCACCACCACCACCCGTGTCCACCACCACCACCCGTCACCACCACCACCACCGTCACCACCACCACCACCCACCACCACCACCACCCGTCACCACCACCACCCCACCACCACCCGTGTCCACCACCACACCACCACCACCACCCGTGTCCACCACCACCACCACCCGTCACCACCACCACCACCACCCACCGTGTCCACCACCACCACCACCCGTCCACCACCACCACCACCACCACCCGTCACCACCACCACCACCACCACCACCCGTCCACCACCACCACCCACCACCACCACCCCACCACCACCACCCGTCACCACCACCACCACCACCCACCACCCACCACCACCACCACCCGTCACCACCACCACCCCACCACCACCCGTGCACCACCACCACCACCCGTCACCACCACCACCACCACCACCCGTCACCACCACCACCCCACCACCACCACCCGTCCACCACCACCACCACCCACCCCACCACCACCACCACCACCACCCGTCACCACCACCACCCGTCACCACACCACCCGTGTCCACCACCACCACCACCCACCACCCGTGTCCACCACCACCACCCGTCACCACCACCACCACCACCCCACCACCACCACCACCACCACCCGTGTCCACCACCACCACCACCGTCCACCACCACCACCACCACCACCGTGCCGTGTCCACCACCACCACCACCACCACCACCACCACCACCCGTGTCCACCACCACCACCACCACCACCCCACCACCACCACCACCACCCACCACCACCACCACCACCACCCGTGTCCACCACCACACCCACCACCACCACCACCCGTCCACACCACCACCACCCGTGTCCACCACCACCACCCGTCCACCACCACCACCACCACCACCCACCCACCACCACCACCACCACCACCCGTCACCACCACCACCACCACCACCACCACCCGTCCACCACCACCACCACCCACCACCACCACCACCCGTCCACCACCACCACCACCACCACCCGTCACCACCACCACCACCACCACCCGTACCACCACCACCACCACCCGTGTCCACCACCACCACCACCCGTCACCACCACCACCACCCGTGTACCACCACCACCACCACCCGTCACCCACCACCACCACCACCACCCGTGTCCACCACCACCACCCGTACCACCACCCACCACCCGTGTCCACCACCACCACCACCACCACCACCACCACCCGTGTCCACCACCACCACCACCACCACCACCACCACCCGTGTCCACCACCACCACCACCACCACCACCACCACCACCACCACCACCCGTGTCCACCACCACCACCACCCGTGCACCACCACCACCACCACCCGTGTCCACCACCACCACCACCACCCGTCACCACCACCACCACCACCACCCCCGTCACCACCACCACCCACACCACCACCACCCCACCACCACCACCCGTCACCACCACCACCACCCGTCCACCACCACCACCCGTCACCACCACCACCCACACCACCACCACCCCCACCACCACCACCCGTCACCACCACCACCACCACCACCACCCGTCCACCACCACCACCCGTCACCACCACCACCACCACCACCACCCGTCACCACCACCACCACCACCACCCGTCACCACCACCACCACCACCACCCGTGCACCACCACCACCACCCGTGTCCACCACCACCACCCGTCACCACCACCACACCACACCACCACCACCCACCACCACCACCACCCGTGTCCACCACCACCACCACCCACCACCCACCACCACCACCACCCGTCCACCACCACCACCACCACCACCACCCGTGTCCACCACCACCACCACCACCCGTCACCACCACCACCACCACCCGTGTCCACCACCACCACCACCACCCGTGTCCACCACCACCACCCGTGTCCACCACCACCACCCGTGCACCACCACCACCACCCGTGTCCACCACCACCACCACCACCACCCGTGTCCACCACCACCACCCGTGTCCACCACCACCACCCGTGTCCACCACCACCACCACCCGTGTCCAACACCCCCCGTGTCCACCACCACCACCCGTGTCCACCACCACCACCCGTGTCCACCACCACCCGTGTCCACCACCACCACCACCCGTGTCCACCACCACCACCATCCGTGTCCACCACCACCACCACCCGTGTCCACCACCACCACCACCACCCGTGTCCCCCACCACCCGTGTCCACCACCACCACCACCACCCGTGTCCACCACCACCACCCGTGTCCACCACCACCACCCGTGTCCACCACCACCACCCGTTATGTCCCAAGTATCGTGTACGCTTCTATCATGTCCCGGCTGTTTATTCTCTATTAGAGATGTGAAAATCAGTTAGTGTGTGGTAGGTGTGTGGTGGCGGGAGGAGGACATGTTGACTGTGAGGCGTGGGTAGTGAGGGCTGCTGGGACGCCCAGGGGCGCCGTGGCCACAATGGAGGACTCCTTATATATGCTAACTTTGGGTTCCCTTCCGGTGCTGCTGTGTCTGCTTCACCTCATAATCTTTAATTTATCCTTAACTATGAGGAGCCATCCTTCAGTATCCACGGTAGACTGCTGCCGGGTTTCTTTCCTGTTAGGTGGTTTACATATATCAGTAGAAGTGTGGTTTACATGTATGTTAACCCTTACTCTCCCGGTCACTCAGTTCACTACCGTGCCAGTCACTGAAGGATGCCTTTCTAACTTGTATATAAGGCTTTGATTGCCAAAGGCTTCTTGACAATCGGGAAAAAAATATATTTTTTAGGTAAGGGTTTAATGCTGGGGCTGCATATTGAAGAGTGGGTCTCACCTTCGTTGTGTATAGGGCCCGAAAAACCGCTTTGTGCAAGTTCCTGAAGGACACACAGATGTTGGCCAGTATGCCATATGCTGCTGTTGTTAGTCTGCTAAAGTGGGCTTCTGGCATCAGATTTGGGGTCATGTCCACTCCCAGGTCCTTCTCCTTTTATGACTGAAGAATTTGTCTTTCCTTCATCCAATAACTGCTGTACTGGGCTTCCCACTCCCGTTCCAATCCTCATAACTTTGCATTTAGCTCTGTTAAATTCTAGTGGCCCGTTTTCAGACCAGTTCTGGAGTGTTGTGAAGGGTAGTTGTGCCGCCAGCTGGCACAAGGCCTGAGCCATCCTGCCGTCCAGCGTGCAGCTGGGACCACTATCGATACCCGGCCTCCAGTACACACTCCTCCACTCTTGTCTTCCCTCTCTCTCCCACTCCGCTGCTCCTCCTGTCTTCTCTCATCCTAAACTTATTTCTCGTCCTTCTTCATCTCGTCTAACATTTACATTTGTCTCCTCCTCCGCCCCTCTCCCTCCCTTCCTCTCTCCTTCCCTCCCTCCTTCCTTCTCTACTTTCTACTGTCCTATAAATCTACATCCTCCTCGCGCCCCTTGTCCTTGAGTAAGTAATTATCCAAAGAAGGCACCAGCCGGGAAGACTATGTAGCACCCTCGTCCTTGAACACTGCCTCACCCCTCAGTCGTAATGTTCCGTCACCTGCCTCGCCCTCCAGCTCCTTGGAGCAACAAGTAGCAACTCCCAGTGTTTATGGATTTGTATGAAGTGTCACTCGACCCGCCCGTGTGTTCACACGTGCCTCTCTAACCAGAGTTCAAGTCCTTTGCAACTTATTTATTTTTGTATTATGTTTAAAAATTGCGCATTTAAAAACTGTGTGTGAGGGGTAAATCATGATTTAATATTTTAACTTCCTACTGTTGCAACTGTTGCAAGAGCTTCACTCTCACTCGCGCTCTCACACTGCCTCTCCCCCCGCCGCTCTTGTCACCACAGTGGTACTCAGTGGCTGGTGGGCCTAAGTAAGGAGCTTACCTTTGATTACTGCCGTCCCAGCTTGATTAGTTCCCAGCCCCTCTCTCCTCCTCCTCGCTTCTATCTGAAATAAATTATTTCCCAAGTTGAGAACACCTGAAGCTAACGTAAATACATACATATACAAGATGTATAATTATACACTTGTTATTATACCTTATATTAAGTGTATATCTTTAGTATTAGTGGTAGTATGAGTAGTTGTAGTAGTAGCAGCAATAGTGGTGATGTAATGACAGGTCTGAGACCCGTCATCAACAGTACATGGTGTACAGTACACCGTTAAGAGAGTACAGGATGTGCGGTGTACTCTCCATCAACCACTCAGCCTGTGTGGACAAATCAATGCAATTTAACAAAGAACAACAACGTTGCTGGAACAACAATAAAACAAACTTGCAAGATGAGACCTGGTGGAACACTGCCAGTGACCAGACACACCTGCAACACTGTCTCCGTGTGTTGCGTCCCACACCTGCAACACTGTCCCCGTGTGTTGCGTCCCACACCTGCAACACTGTCTCCGTGTGTTGCGTCCCACACCTGCAACACTGTCTCCGTGTATTGCGTCCCACACCTGCAACACTGTCTCCGTGTGTTGCGTCCCACACCTGCAACACTGTCTCCGTGTGTTGCGTCCCACACCTGCAACACTGTCTCCGTGTGTTGCGTCCCACACCTGCAACACTGTCCCCGTGTGTTGCGTCCCACACCTGCAACACTGTCCCCGTGTGTTGCGTCCCACACCTGCAACACTGTCCCCGTGTGTTGCGTCCCACACCTGCAACACTGTCCCCGTGTGTTGCGTCCCACACTTGCAACACTGTCCCCGTGTATTGCGTCCCACACCTGCAACACTGTCTCCGTGTGTTGCGTCCCATACCTGCAACACTGTCCCCGTGTGTTGCGTCCCACACCTGCAACACTGTCCCCGTGTGTTGCGTCCCACACTTGCAACACTGTCCCCGTGTGTTGCGTCCCACACTTGCAACACTGTCCCCGTGTATTGCGTCCCACACCTGCAACACTGTCTCCGTGTGTTGCGTCCCACACCTGCAACACTGTCCCCGTGTGTTGCGTCCCACACCTGCAACACTGTCCCCGTGTGTTGCGTCCCACACCTGCAACACTGTCTCCGTGTGTTGCGTCCCACACCTGCAACACTGTCTCCGTGTGTTGCGTCCCACACCTGCAACACTGTCTCCGTGTGTTGCGTCCCACACCTGCAACACTGTCCCCGTGTGTTGCGTCCCACACCTGCAACACTGTCCCCGTGTGTTGCGTCCCACACCTGCAACACTGTCTCTGTGTGTTGCGTCCCACACCTGCAACACTGTCTCCGTGTGTTGCGTCCCACACCTGCAACACTGTCCCTGTGTGTTGCGTCCCACACCTGCAACACTGTCTCCGTGTGTTGCGTTCCACACCTTCAACACTGTCTCCGTGTGTTGCGTCCCACACCTTCAACACTGTCTCCGTGTTGCGTCCCACACCTGCAACACTGTCTCCGTGTGTTGCGTCCCACACCTGCAACACTGTCCCCGTGTGTTGCGTCCCACACCTGCAACACTGTCTCCGTGTGTTGCGTCCCACACCTTCAACACTGTCCCCGTGTATTGCGTCCCACACCTGCAACAGTCTCCGTGTGTTGCGTCCCACACCTTCAACACTGTCTCCGTGTGTTGCGTCCCACACCTTCAACACTGTCTCTGTGTGTTGCGTCCCACACCTTCAACACTGTCCCCGTGTGTTGCGTCCCACACCTGCAACACTGTCTCCGTGTGTTGCGTCCCACACCTGCAACACTGTCCCCGTGTGTTGCGTCCCTCACCTGCAACACTGTCTCCGTGTGTTGCGTCCCACACCTGCAACACTGTCTCCGTGTGTTGCGTCCTTCACCTGCAACACTGTCTCCGTGTGTTGCGTCCCACACCTGCAACACTGTCTCCGTGTGTTGCGTCCCACACCTGCAACACTGTCTCCGTGTGTTGCGTCCCACACCTGCAACAGTCTCCGTGTGTTGCGTCCCACACCTGCAACACTGTCCCCGTGTGTTGCGTCCCACACCTGCAACACTGTCTCCGTGTGTTGCGTCCCACACCTGCAACACTGTCCCCGTGTGTTGCGTCCCTCACCTGCAACACTGTCTCCGTGTGTTGCGTCCCACACCTGCAACACTGTCTCCGTGTGTTGCGTCCCTCACCTGCAACACTGTCTCCGTGTGTTGCGTCCCACACCTGCAACAGTCTCCGTGTGTTGCGTTCCACACCTGCAACACTGTCCCCGTGTGTTGCGTCCCTCACCTGCAACACTGTCTCCGTGTGTTGCGTCCCACACCTGCAACACTGTCTCCGTGTGTTGCGTCCCTCACCTGCAACACTGTCTCCGTGTGTTGCGTCCCACACCTGCAACACTGTCTCCGTGTGTTGCGTCCCACACCTGCAACACTGTCTCCGTGTGTTGCGTCCCACACCTGCAACAGTCTCCGTGTGTTGCGTCCCACACCTGCAACAGTCTCCGTGTGTTGCGTCCCACACCTGCACCTCTCGCATCTCCATACCTCAAAATGAGAGATGAAACTACAATAAATTTTGCGAGTTAAGCAAAAGGCGCGAACACCCAGTGATGAGGACATTGTGCTCCAAGAACTAAATGACGGTTAGCACACATGATGCTTGATGTATACCTGCATGTATACAACCTGCATGTATACAACCTACATGTATACAACCAGCATGTATACAACCAGCATGTATACAACCTGCATGTATACAACCTGCATGTATACAACCTGCATGTATACAACCTACATGTATACAACCAGCATGTATACAACCAGCATGTATACAACCTGCATGTATACAACCTGCATGTATACAACCTGCATGTATACAACCTGCATGTATACAACCTGCATGTATACAACCAGCATGTATACAACCTGCATGTATACAACCAGCATGTATACAACCTGCATGTATACAACCTGCATGTATACAACCTGCATGTATAGAACCAGCATGTATAGAACCAGCATGTATAGAACCAGCATGTATACAACCAGCATGTATACAACCTGCATGTATACAACCTGCATGTATACAACCAGCATGTATACAACCTGCATGTATACAACCAGCATGTATAGAACCAGCATGTATACAACCAGCATGTATACAACCTGCATGTATACAACCTGCATGTATACAACCTGCATGTATACAACCTGCATGTATACAACCAGCATGTATACAACCTGCATGTATACAACCTGCATGTATACAACCAGCATGTATACAACCAGCATGTATACAACCAGCATGTATAGAACCAGCATGTATAGAACCAGCATGTATACAACCTGCATGTATACAACCTGCATGTATACAACCTGCATGTATACAACCTGCATGTATACAACCAGCATGTATACAACCAGCATGTATACAACCAGCATGTATACAACCTGCATGTATAGAACCAGCATGTATACAACCTGCATGTATACAACCAGCATGTATAGAACCAGCATGTATACAACCTGCATGTATACAACCTGCATGTATACAACCAGCATGTATACAACCTGCATGTATACAACCAGCATGTATACAACCAACACGTATACAACCTGCATGTATACAACCTGCATGTATACAACCAACATGTATACAACCTGCATGTATACAACCTGCATGTATAGAACCTGCATGTATACAACCTGCATGTATACAATCTGTATGTATACAACCTGTATGTATACAACCTGCATGTATACAACCAACATGTATACAACCTGCATGTATACAACCTGCATGTATACAACCAACATGTATACAACTAGCATGTATACAACCTGCATGTATACAACCTGCATGTATACAACCTGCATGTATACAAACTGCAAGTATACAATCTGTATGTATACAACCTGCATGTATACAACCAACATGTATACAACCAACATGTATACAACCTGCATGTATACAACCTGCATGTATACAACCAACATGTATACAACCAACATGTATACAACCAGCATGTATACAACCTGCATGTATACAACCAACATGTATACAACCAACATGTATACAACCAGCATGTATACAACCAGCATGTATACAACCTGCATGTATACAACCTGCATGTATACAACCAGCATGTATACAATCTGCATGTATATGACACCTTACACATGGCAACAGATGACGTTCGAATGTGTCCCGAACAGTGCTTCGTACACGTTCAGTGTACGACTCGGGTAAATGCTTCACCCCCAGCCTATAATTACAAACAATTATCAACACAACGAAACCTTTAAAGTAACCAAGTCTAGGCTTAAATATTAATTTTTATTTTGTAGAAATTCTCGTCAGAGGCAGTACGATGCGTGAACATTTATGACCGTGTTTGGGGACCAGCGGCTCTTGGACGAGCACAGCTTGAGCAGGCTTCGCAATCCACCAGGTGTACGGCCCGTCCTCATAAATAAAGGCCAAAGTCCATTCCATGCACCCGCCAACCCCGCTGTTTATAAATGAACCACAGTTTACACACGACTCTCGACTGCTTTCGTTCCAACACTTCCGGAACAAGTGCTTCACTGACGAATTTTCTTCGAACCACAACGCTGCAAATGCTTCACCCACGAACTACAAATAATCGCTAACAGAATCTAAAAATCTAACCTATGGCTAAATATGCACAGCATGCTAATATAATATTTATATTTGAGAAAATCCTGTTTCATCAACATTGATGAGTGCGTCCTTGCATCCATTCCGCTGGATGGAATGGATTGGTCTGAAGCCGGGTGATGAGGTGTGAGCCGGGTGGTGAGGTGTGAGCCGGGTGGTGAGGTTTGAGCCGGGTGGTGAGGTGTGAGCCGGGTAGTGAGGTTTGAGCCGGGTGGTGAGGTGTGAGCCGGGTGGTGAGGTTTGAGCCGGGTGGTGAGGTGTGAGCCGGGTAGTGAGGTTTGAGCCGGGTGGTGAGGTTTGAGCCGGGTGGTGAGGTTTGAGCCGGGTGGTGAGGTGTGAGCCGGTAGTGAGGTTTGAGCCGGGTGGT